AAAAAAAACAAAAAAGTAGAAAGATGGGTAGTTCCTGCTTTTAGTAGGGTGCGATCTCACAGACCATATGCAATATATATAAATAAAGGAGCTGCGCTCACCTAGCGTGCAAGAGTCAACAAAGTGCAATATCCACATGTATATACAAAAATTCACATATCCAATTAAACTTGTATAAGTGTATAAGTGTATTAACATAACGTATAAAGCCATTTATAACTCTGCCCCAAATTACATCACCGATCTTGTCTCCAAATATCACCCAAACCGTACTCTCCACTCCTCCCATGACCTCCTGCACTCTAGCTCCCTTGTCTCCTCCAGGGGGGGCCATGAGTTGTCAGTCCGCCCCTGATAGCGCCATCAGTTTACATATATATTGTACATTCACATCAGTCCCTAACCCTCAAGGGGCGTACAATCTAAGGTCCCTAACTCACATTCATACATGGTGTGAACCAGGCCTGAAATGTAGTGAAAACGCACAAAAACCGCACACGTGCTGCGATTTTGATGCGTTTTGCATTTTTAATCTACCCAGCAACAAGTTGGTAAAAAAAGTGTTAAAACCGCTCGTTCAAGAATCACCAATCAGATGCCATCTAGCCCAAACTGTCATCCCTGCAAGCAGAGGAGAGAAAGCTGTGGGGACTTAAAATCCCCAGACTGGTGAAGAAGCTTTTTCTCCTCTCCTTGCAGGGATGACAGTTTGGGCTAGATGGCATCTGATTGGTCAGCATCGTTCATGTGACAGTGCTGACCAATTAAAAGCTCTCTAGCTCGAACTGTCATCCAATTTAGACAGGAGCCAATTCACCTACCAGCATGTCTTTGGAGTGTGGGAGGAAACCGGAGTACCTGGAGGAAACCCATGCAGGCACAGGGAGAACATGCAAACTCCAGGCAGGTGGTGCTGTGGCTGGGATTCGAACCATTGACCCTAGTACTGCCAGATGGAAGTGCTAACCATTTAGCCACTGTGCTGCCTGTATTATATTCGACTTTTTAATTAATATCATGAATTTAAATGAATATGGATATTTATTTTCAGCATCTTTTCGGCCAATAGGCACTGAGAAGTTTTTCAGCGCTTGTATTTGAAAAAGAAAGAAAAGAAAAGAGAAAAAAAAAAAAAAGCAGAACAGCTCAAGAAAAATATATCCCTTTAAATCCCATGTACAGTTGTGACCAAAATTATTCACCCCCACTGAAATTGAGTGTTTTGGCCAGTTTGACATTGCTTTTGATCATTCAGTCATCTTGCTTACATTTACATTAAAGAGGCACTTGTAGGTCAGACAAATATAACATAACAGTTATAATGAAATAACCACAAATGTCTTTTCTGTGCTCACAGCATTATCAGTTTTATTCAACCCCCAAGTGACATTCAATCTTAGTACTTAGTACAGCATCCTTTTACAGTTATAACAGCTTTTAAACGTGAAGCATAGCTTGACACAAGTGTCTTGCAGCGATCTACGGGTATCTTCGCCCATTCTTCATGGGCAGGCCTCCAGTTCAGTCACATTCTTAGGCTTGCGCACTGCAACTGCTTTCTTTAAGTCCCCACCAGAGGTTCTCAATCGGATTTAAGTGGTGACTGCGATGGCCACTCCAAAATGTTCCAGCCTTTCCTCTGCAACCATGCTCTAGTGGACTTGGAGGTATGCTTGGGATCATTGTCCTGTTGAAAGGTCCAACGTCTCCCAAGCCTCAGGTGTGTGACGGACTGCATCACGTTTCCATCCAATATCTCCTGGTACTGAAGAGAATTCATGGTACCTTGCACACGCTGAAGCTTCCCTGTACCTGCAGAAGCAAAACAGCCCCAAAGCATGATTGACCCTCCACCATGCTTCACAGTAGGCAAGGTGTTCTTTTCATCAAAGGCCTTGTTCTTCCTCCTCCAAACATAGCGTTGATCCATGGGCCCAAACAGTTCTAATTTTGTTTCATCAGTCCACAGAACACTATCCCACAACTTTTGTGGTTTGTCCACATGGCTTTTGGCATACTCTTCTTATTCTTTGGAGACAGCAAGGGGGTACGCCTGGGAGTTCTGGCACGGAGGCCTTCATTACGCAGTGTGCGTCTTATTGTCTGGGCTGAAACTTCTGTACCCACATCTGACAAATCTTTTCTCAGTTCCTCAGCAGTCACACGGGGACTTCTCTCCACTCTACGCTTCAGGTAGCGCACAGCAGTCGAAGTCAGCATCTTCTTTCTGCCACGACCAGGTAGCGTTTCAACAGTGCCCTTTGCCTTGAATTTGCGAATGATGCTTCCTAAGGTGTCTCTTGGTATGTTTAACATCTTTGCAATCTTCTTATAGCCATTGCCCTTCCTGTGAAGAGAAATCACCTCTTCTCTTGTCTTCCTGGACCATTCTCTTGCCTTCACCATGTTTGTAACCACACCAGTAAATGTCTAGAAGGAGCTGAGTATCACAGTCATTTTAAAGCTGCCTAATTGGTGCTTATTATGCTTGATTGCTGCTCGGTGACATCCACAGGTGTTTTCAATACCTGATGGAAAGCACCTGTATGAACCTCTGTTCTTCAGAGTGGTAGTCTTTAAGGGGTTGAATAATTGTGGCAATGAAGAAACCACATAAGAACCATTTACTACTGTATTACATAAACAATTGATGTCATTTTAGTTGCATTTGGGTAGTTACAACGTCCTTGTAGGATTTGATTCTGAATACAATTCCAAATGTACACTATAGTCCCTAAACCCCTTTACAGCATTGGGGGTTGAATAATTTTTGGTCACAACTGTATGTCCGTTGTGCTTCCTTTGCGGTGTTGAAAATCCTGCTTACTGCATTTTTGGTGCATATTTGGCAAGTTAAAAAAAAAAAAAAAAATCACCAAAATGCACCTTCCCATTGAAGCCTGGTTCACACCAATGCGTTTTTTGAGGGCTTTTTGCAGAAACGCGCTACAGTCTACGTAACATGGTTTCCTATGGGGCGCGTTCACATCTATGCTTTTTTGAGCTTCTGCGTTTTTGGAAAGGGTCAGGGACTTTTTTGAACGCAAAATGTGTGCGTTTTTGGTTCAATAGACACACTGCAGAAAACGCATGTAGTGTGCATTTTGATGCATTTTCACGCGTTTGTGATACACTTTGCGTTTTTAATCTGCCCAGCAACAAATTGGTCAAAAAAAAAAAGTGTCAAAAACGCTCGTTCAAGAATGCAAAAAGCACTGCAAAATAGACAAAATGCAAAAGCAACTGCATTGGTGTGAACCAGGCCTGAAATGTAGTGAAAACGCACAAAAACCGCACACGTGCTATGATTTTGATGTGTTTTGCATTTTTAATATACCCAGCAGCAAGTTGGTAAAAAAAAGTGTTAAAAACGCTCGTTCAAGAATCACCAATCAGATGCCATCGAGCCCAAACTGTCATCCCTGCAAGGAGAGGAGAGAAAGCTGTGGGGATTTCAAATCCCCAGACTGGTGAAGAAGCTTTTTCTTCTCTCCTTGCAGGGATGACAGTTTGGGCTAGATGGCATCTGATTGGTCAGCATCGTTCATGTGACAGTGCTGACCAATTAAAAGCTCTCTGGCTCAAACTGTCATCCCTTCAAGCAGAGAAGAGAAAGTGGTGAGGATTTCAAATCCCCAGACCGGTGAAGGGGCTTTTTCTCCTCTCCTTAAAGGGATGACAGTTCAGGCTAGAGGACTTTTGATTGGTTAACACTGCCACATGGGGGGGGGGCTGACCAATCAGAAACCGTCTAGCCCAAACTGTCATCCTTGCATGGAGAGGAGAGAAAGCTGCTTCACGGTCTGAGGATTTGAAATCCTCTCCTCTCCTTGTAGGGATGACAGTTCAGGCTAGATGGCATCTGATTGGTCAGCATCGCCCATGTGACAGTGCTGACCAATCAAAAGGCTTCTAGCCCGATCTGTCATCCCTGCAAGGAGAGGAGAGAAAGTGGTGAGGATTTCAAATCCCAGCTGCTTTCTCTCCTCTCCTACTTTTGAGAATATGGACCATCTGCCACCATAGTATACTCCCCCCGCGCGCCCACTCTCCTCTCAGCATGGGATGCGTGCAAGAAGGTTTCCCGCACCGCTCCTGTGTGAACTTGGGCTATGGCAAGCCTGGGTTCACATAGGGGCAGTGAGGAAACCGCATGCGATTTGGACAAGAATCACATTCCTGTTCAAATCGCATGCTAATCTTTGCGGTGCAATTTGTATAGACTCAAATCGCACCGCAAAGTATCGGTTTGCGGTATCGTGAGCATTTTCACGAATACGAATATTCGTGAAAATACTCGGTATCGGCACCAATACCGATACCAGTATTGCTGCACCCCTAAAGATAAGTGTAGTCCACTGGAGGATCATAAGTGTCAGTTTCACACTACTGCGACCTGAAAGTTGCGTGACTTATGGTGCGACTTTGCCAGGAGAGTTCCTGGCGATTTGCGGGCGACTTGATGCAACTTGAGTACTACTTGATGCGACTTGGACTCGACTTTCATGCCATGCAACTTTGCCTTTGGCCAATGAGAACATCAGCTACAGGTAATCTGCCTGTAATGTTGGATCCAAATCACATCAATATAGATGAGGATCCAACTAGGAGGCGACCATTAAAGTCTATGGGCACAAGTTGGCTAGAAGTCGCCATGAAGTAGTACAGGAACCTTTTCTAAAGTCGGAGCGACTTCAGTAGTGCTAAGACAGCTCTCATTGACTAATATGGGATTTCACATGTCATGCAACTTGGGGGTCTCACAAGTCAGATCCCAAGTGGCACCAGTGGGAACCCAGCCTTAAAGTTGAACTCCAGGAATTCAGCTACTTTGTAATATGTGCTGGAATACTATGAGTTAAAGTGTTACTAAACCCAGTACCCTGCATTCACTATATCTGGTCTCCACAGACCCTGCATTCACTATATCTGGTCTCCCCAGACCCTGCATTCACTATATCTGGTCTCCACAGACCCTGCATTCACTATATCTGGTCTCCCCGGACCCAGAATTCACTATATCTGGTCTCCCCGGACCCGGCATTCACTATATCCGCTCTCCCCGGACCCAGAATTCACTATATCCGCTCTCCCCGGACCCTGCATTCACTATATCTGGTCTCCCCGGACCCTGCATTCACTATATCCGCTCTCCCCGGACCCTGCATTCACTATATCCACTCTCCCCGGACCCTGCATTCACTATATCCACTCTCCCCGGACCCTGCAATCACTATATCTGGTCTTCCCGGACCCTGCATTCACTATATCCGGTCTCCCCGGACCCTGCATTCACTATATCCTGTCTCCCTGGACCCTGCATTCACTATATTCGCTCTCCCCAGACCCTGCACTCACTATATCCGGTCTCCTCCCCGGACCCTGCATTCACTATATCTGGTCTCCCCGGACCCTGCATTCACTATATCCGGTCTCCCCGGACCCTGCATTCACTATATCTGCTCTCCCCGAACCCTGCATTCACTATATCTGGTCTCCCCGGACCCTGCATTCTCTATATCTGGTCTCCCCGGACCCTGCATTCACTATATCCGCTCTCCCCGGACCCTGCATTCACTATATCCAGTCTCCCCAGACCCAGAATTCACTATATCCGCTCTCCCTGGACCCTGCATTCACTATATCTGCTCTCCCCAGAGACCCTGCATTCACTATATCCGGTCTTCCCGGACCCTGCATTCACTATATCTGCTCTCCCCGGACCCTACATTCACTATATCTGGTCTCTCCGGACTCTGCATTCAATATATGTGTTACCCCACAGGACACAGAACATGGACATGCAATTATTTTACTAAATATAAACTGCTAAATACCTTTTCTTATCAGCAGTATATGGTAGTCTTGTGACTTCTATCAGTGTCCAGCTGAGCACTGGTCAAAGCTTGTAGGAGTTCTCTTTCTGCTCTTGGAGGATGCAGAACCCCTGACAGATTGGGGTAGGGATTTCCATAGGATCGGAGAAGCTCGGGAGAAGTCCTGGAGGCGAGCATGGGAGGAGGTAACACGGGGAACTAGGGAGCAGAATGTCTTGGGAGGATTGCACACAAATGTGCGGCCGCTCAGCATCAAGGCCCCAAGAGGTTAAAATGACAAAAGTGTATACTCACAAACCAGGACTCATAATACAAGCTGGAAACCAGCGTGACAGTCCGAACAGACAGTAATCTAACAGCAGGGCGAGCTAACGCGCTTCGGGTGACGTACTCCCTTCTTCAGAGCTTTACTTGCCTATACAGACCAGGGGCGGTGTCAGGAATGGGCTCAGCACAGGTGGTACTGGGGTTCACCTGCCGTGTGGGCTGCAGTACCAGTGCTGGCCAGCGGGTGCTCTCAGCAGCCAGAATCTGACTCCTGCAATCAAGCCTTCACCTGAGGCTGATTGCAGGAGGTCTATTTAAGCAGGACCAGGCCTGCAATCAGTGCCTTGGTGTTTGTTTCCCATGAGCCCCTGTACCTGGTATCCTGTGAATCTTCTGTTGCCGACCTCTGCATTGTTCCTGACCATCTCCTGCTTGATCCCTGGCTTGCCTGACCATTCTCTGAGTTACTGAACCCGGCTTGTGACCCTGACCATTCTCTGCCTGCTCCTCCGGTACCTCACTGCCCACACATTGCTAACCTGGGCTGCCTGACTTTGCCTTATGCTACCCAGACCATCCATCCATCCCGCACGGATCTGTCCCTGTTACCAGGTCTGCCAGCCTTTTCACGTCAGGCTCCTTTCCCCGCACACCTCTGACGACGCTCCCTACCATTGCCGGACGTACTCAGGGGTGACGACCTGGTCTCAGTCTGCTCCAAGTCCATCCCCACCATCAGGGGCCCTGGTGAATAAGCAGATTGGGACTTAGACCCCGCGCCCTGAGGGACCCCGTGCTGTGGGCTGCTAGACACGCCGCCAGGCGGTGCTTAACAGTACCAGACGGCCTACCTGACCATTCCACCTCTCCAGCCCTGACTGCACCTGTGTTCCCACACATTTCTGGTAATACCCTGACCCTGACAGGCGGACTGACAACTCATGGGGCCCCCGGGCAATAGGGGATCATGGGGTCCCTTTGTCCTTACCCAAACTCAAAAAAGCCTATGAAAAAGGTACCAGGGGCATCTCACGGGGCCCCCTACTGACCCCGGGCCCTCGGGCAGTGCCCAAGTTTCCAAATGGTCAGTCCGCCCCTGATACAGACTGATCTCACTGCTGCGGGTTCAGCAACACTTTAATATAAATGTACCGACAGCTACAATGTAACGAGAAAGCGGGGTCAATTTTGTAACTTTTTTTTCTTTTCTGAAAGTAAAATCAGAGGAAATGATGAGAAATTTCACAATATGCGTCGCTGAATGTTTTATTGTCCAAATTATAAATTACCCCCCACCCCCCGCTCTCACAACTCATTGGGTAATTAGAGACAAAATAGGGACATTTTCATTACAGGAGAATCAGTTTGGAGGATAAATGGAAACATAATCTGCGCCTCTTGATAATACTCCTCTGCTTAATGCAAATCTCCGCGCGGTTTTAGACTAGTGTTTTTAATTTGTGTATATTCAAAGCCTATTTGCATTCATAGCTCTTTGTGGTGAACATGAAGAGTCTGGCGAAGAGCGCGCTGTAATTGGCGTCCTTATCTGCTTTCCGCAAACTCCAGGGGATGAAAACATTGTTTCAGATACGGGAGAAATTCTAACGACGACAATGGAGAGGAGACGGCCGGGGAGGCGGGCAGACCGCACGACGGCAAAGGCGCTTCTTTACAGAACTTTTTTGGCGGAGAGTTGGCGCGGGATGGGGCCCGGGCTGGGCTTTTGTTGGGATTACACAAATCAGTTATTGTGGGAATGTTTAGATAAGAGTCTTTTTATTGGTTCTCGGTAATCGGAGGAAATGGAACTGCAATCCATTTACTGCTAATGACTAGTGTGTGACGGCATTCCCTTTGGTAGAGGGCTTCAGCGGGATATAGGTGATTCGATTTTCTTTCCTTCCACCAAAGGTCGAAGGAATGGAAATTGCTCGATTCCCCCATCAATACAGTTGGTGTTGAAGGGGGAATCCCTCCCTGCAGTGCTGTTGTTAACCCTTAAAAATCCCATTGTCTATACCGCCATTTGTAAACGATACAACGTTCACATAAACCAATTAATTTACACGTATTGGGATTTTTTTTTTTTTTTTTAGCAAATACACGGAGCAGAATACATTTTGGCCTAAATTTATGACAAAATTTGATTTTTTAATGGACATGTTTAACCACTTCCAATCCGGACACTTTCACCCCCGTTCCGGTCTGGACACTTTCACCCCCGTTCCGGTCTGGACACTTTCACCCCCTTCCGGTCTGGACACTACATCCCCCGTTCCGGTCTTCATCCCCCTTCCGGTCTGGACACTATCACCCCCTTCGGTCTGGACACTGGATCCCCCGTTCCGGTTGGACACTATCATCCCCCTTCCGGTCTGGACACTATCATCCCCCGTTCCGGTCTGGACACTATCATCCCCCGTTCCGGTCTGGACACTATCATCCCCCGTTCCGGTCTGGACACTTTCACCCCCGTTCCGGTCTGGACACTTTCATCCCCCGTTCCGGTCTGGACACTATCATCCCCCTTCCGGTCTGGACACTATCATCCCCCGTTCCGGTCTGGACACTATCATCCCCCGTTCCGGTCTGGACACTTTCATCCCCCGTTCCGGTCTGGACACTATCATCCCCCGTTCCGGTCTGGATCACGTTCCGGTCTGGACACTTTCATCCCCCGTTCCGGTCTGGACACTTTCACCCCCGTTCCGGTGCTGGACACTTTCATCCCCCGTTCCGGTCTGGACACTATCATCCCCCGTTCCGGTCCGGTCTGGACACTATCATCCCCCGTTCCGGTCTGGACACTATCATCCCCCGTTCCGGTCTGGACACTATCATCCCCCGTTCCGGTCTGGACACTATCATCCCCCGTTCCGGTCTGGACACTATCATCTATCCCCCCGTTCCGGTCTGGACACTATCATCCCCCGTTCCGGTCTGGACACTTTCACCCCGTTCGGTCCGGACACTTTCACCCCCTTCCTGTCCAGGGCAATTTTCAGCTTTCAGCGCTATCACACTTTGAATGACAATTGCGCGGTCATGCAACACTGTTCCCATTGAATTTTTTAGCTTTTTTTTGAGACAGATAAAGCTTTATTTTGGTGGTATTTATTCACCACATTTTTATTTTTTTTTGCTATGTAAATGAAAAAGTCCAAAGATTTTGAAAAAAAGTGTTTTTCCTATAAAATTTTGCAAATAAAAAATATTTCATCATAAATCTTGGCCAAAATTTATTCCGTTATCTTTTTCGTAAAAAAAAAATAAGTTTATAACCAAAAATTATAATTTTTCAACATTGTTTTTTACATTTTTATTTTTTTATATTATTTTTTTTTTTTTCGTTTTTACATACTGTCACCCTAGCAGTACATTGTCACCATGGTGACACTGTACTACTTGTGGGGGGTGATGAAGATTTTTTTTTTCTTTTACACTGATTGCTTTTACACCCATAAAGGTTGTAAAAGCAATCATTTCTCCTTCTCTCTGGCTGCATTTTTGCAGCCATTGAGAAATACTGTGTGAGCTGTGATTGGTCACAGCTTGTCACATGGTACAAGGCTGTTGTGAATAGTTTATAACCACAAATTATAATTTTTTAAACTTTTTTTTAAATTAAAAAAAAAAAAGAAATTATATTATTATTTATATATATATATTTTTTTACATACTGTCACCCTAGCAGTACCATGGTGACACTACTTGTGGGGGGGGTGATGAAGATTTTTTTTTACACTGATTGCTTTTACACCCATAAAGGCTGTAAAAGCAATTATTTTCTCCTTCTCTCTGGCTGCGTTCTTGCAGCCATTGAGAACCACTGAGTGAGCTGTGATTGGTCACAGCTTGTCACATGGTACAAGGCTGCTGTGAATAGCCCTGTACCATGTGACCTCTGTGATCATTCACAGATTTCACACGTAGTAAGCAATGATGTCACAAGTGACATCTTGCTTACTACTTTGCATGTGATCACTGATTGGCCAATCAGTGATCACATGATTGGGACCTCGCACAGAGGTCCCGTCGCCCGACGATCGGTGTTCCACTGTGTCCGGAGGACACAGTGAGCACCGGATCGCGGTGCTGCGCGCTCCCAGGGAGCGCGCACAAGCAGGGGGTGGGGAGGCTGTTTATAAATATCCCCTCCCTCCTAGATTGTAAGCTCCAAGGAGTAGGGCCCTCGAACCCCTCGTGTATCGCATTGTATTGTATTGTCTGTCGCATGTTCTGCCCCCTTTGTAATGTACAGCGCTGAGGGAACTGTTGGCGCTTTATAAATACTGTATAATAATAATAATTCTAAACGGCCACTCGCCCCTGCACTGCCACCGTCCGACCATTTATATACAATGGCCGGATGGGAGGTGGTTAATAGCAAAAAGTCAAAAATATTGTTTTTTGTTCTCAAAATTGTCTTTTTTTACTTATAGCGCAAAAAAAAAAAAAACGCACAGGCGATCCAATAC